GTGAAAACGAAAGACACCTAGGTGGATGTTATAGTGTCGCGGCTCAGAGAACAGACAATGGTGACTGTCTGTTGCAAGTATGCTCAAACAACCGCCTATTCTTAGCAAACACTAACTTTAGGCATAAGGAAAAGCATCTGTTGACCTGGCGACCTCCAAAGTCGTCTCAACGTTGGACACATCGCCATCAGCCACCGATGGAGGAGTTCGATAGAAGCCTGTCGCTCGTTCTGGGGCACATGTTAAGATTCAGATCATGCCCTAGTGCGAGCTCGTATTTGTTTGAAGCTTACTTGGCGTAGGAAAGACACCGCAAGAAAACCTCTCAGGGTTCCACCTCTTAACCTCTTAGGGTTTTACTTAATGATAATAAGGCGAAGAATCTATTTCAGGAACAATTAGAAAGACAGTTAGGCGACCATTTAAGCGATTCCCATCCGGAGTCAGGTTGGAATGATATCTGCTAGTAAGGTTCACCATAAGGCTAGATCTCCAGTCATCATGAATGGCAAATCGACGTAAGTCCCCCTAGTCTACATGAAGTTGAGAAAGCGTCGGGAAATCTGGAGCGAGGGCGAGCCGCAGGTCCTGATAGACTGACCCCTGAGATATTTAAGGATGGTGGTCCAGTTTTAGCAGCTAGGTTGACTGAGATCTTAGGTAGAATCTGGGAACTGGACGTAATCCCATCCGACTGGTTTCAACCAATGATTGTCCCAACTTATAAGAAAGGACAAAAGTCTTCTTGTGACAATCACAGGGGAATCAGTATAACTAATATAGTTTCTAAATTGTTAGTCTCGATTATACTTAGACGCTTAACGAAAGCTCGTGAAGAGCAAACTCGAGAAAACCAGTCTGGTTTTCGACCTGGACGTGGTTGTATAGACCACATCTTCACACTACGACAGGTCCTGGAACACAGACAAACAGTTAGGCGTCCGACAATAGTCGTGTTACTGGACCTAACAGCGGCATTTGACTCAGTGGATCGTGAGGTTCTGTGGCAGTGTCTGTCATTGAAAGGTGTACCAAAGAAGTACATTAACCTCATACAAGCTCTCTACTCGAACACCACTGGTCGAGTGAGAGCTTATAGCTAACTGTCATCTGAATTCTCTACATCCAGTGGTGTCTGTCAGGGATGTTCACTTTCTCCATTCTTGTTTAGTTTTATCATAGACATGCTCGGATACAGAAGGCTCGATTGGCTTTTACCAACCTGCATCACTTATGGCGTAGGCGAGACATCCGTTTGCTGACTAAAGGACGAGTGTACTGTGCAGTAGTTCGCTTCGTTCTACCTTATGGCTGAGAAACATGGCCGTTAAGAGTAGAAGATATTCGCAGATTACTGGTTTTTGATCATAGATGTTTAAGAAGCATTGCTCGTATATCTTGAGACTATCGAGTAAGCAATGCTGTTGTGAGGAAACGGGTACTAGGTAATGGTGGCAGATCAATAGATGAAGTAATGAAACTTCATCAGTTGAGTTAGTTGTGACATATGTTATAAATGCTCAACCACCGACTGCCTAGACGAGCTATGTTTTGTGGTGTAGGGGTAGGTTGGAATAGAGCTAGGGGCGGCCGAACCAAAACACGTCAGAAGTCCATGAAGTCACTGACAAGTGGACTGAGTCATAATGGCGGATGTAGACTACCTGGTTGGGGTCCGCGAGACGAAAGTCACCGATGGTTAGAGACCTTGAATGACATGGCGGAGAATCGTTTGCAATGGCACAGGTGCATGCCCTCCTTGTGTTCTCTCAAATCCTAATCTTCTGGGTTCTTCAACACCTCTAGTTTTGACTTTCTAAACTACTACTCTTCTACTATTGGATTTGAATTGACAATTACATCTCTGTGCTGATGTGGTATGGCGACATGAACTGATGTACTTACGTACGAAGTTCTACGTTGCATCTGACTGACTGAATTACTTCTCAAATATCAACATGTTACAAGAGGCATGCCAATTTACAGGCAAGACCAAAATGTTAAGATTGCTAACATATTTTTTGTAAAACGTTGTTCGGTTACTGAAATATTTCACAAGATACATTCGCTTCATATAGATGGCTAAAATTTTTCACATAAAATGATCGATAATTTTTCAGTTTCTGCAATGTGCAATGCGAATAATTGGCGCGTGTTACAACGGGTGCGTTTCGACGAACTGCTAATTACAGCAAAACAATTCAAGAAAGAGCCAGGTCTGCATATAACAAGAATTGAGAAGGTAAGTGTGATAAAATCTGCTTGATATTCTTCAAATAATATATTTACAGGCTCCTGGGTAAAGCAATCAATTCTTCAGTTAATATCCGGACTAATATTTAAGGACTGGAATAAGGTGCTGAAAAAGAGAAAGAGAACGGGACGAGGAGCAGAAAAGAAAATATTCATGTTCAAGACAAAACAATGACTCAGCAGATACTTGTTTAATTAGATCACCAACAGTGCACCTGCACATGTGTATTTTAATGAAGTCAAGTCACTAGTAAGAAAACGAATGGGCAATTAATCGCATGAATAGAGGAAATCCAGAAGAACCAAATTGTTAGCAATAATGTTGATGTACAGGATAGTTACATCCTGCTTTATCGTAGGGAGCATTGAGCAAACAAAATGTTCTGCCCCACAGATGTGAGTAGATTGAGGTTATCGCCCCACCGTCATGAGTGTAAGGTTTTCGAGGACTGATGAGGACGCATTACCCGCGTTTTGAGTAGTAAAAGCGTATTCATGTGTTCTTTTGTTGATGAACCATATCATTTTAAAGTTGAACTGATTTCCCGGGAAAAAAATTGTAGGCCATAAGAATCACGCCCCCATCTATATTGAAAACCGTTCTCTGCCTTTTTGAGATTTGTTTGCGGTATATCCTGGAAGTATTGTATTACCAGAAACTAACTTACAATCTACTGTAGATACTTGGAGAAGGCAGAGGTCTCGAACCCACGAACGGTCAGTTTAGTCCCCATTCCAGCATCACCGAGGAAGTTTCCGGGTATTATGCAATGAAACGGAAGCAGCAGCAGTAGAAATCCTCAAATCTTTCAGGATAACGTTGCAACTAAAGCCACATGAAAGGCACGGCACTATTAAGAAAGAGTTATCAATAGATACGTGAGCATTCCATTTTCCTGTGATTCGTCCTATTTACAATGCCGTGCTATCACTTACTCTAAAACAGCACACAACTTTCAGGGAAACTTAAGTATCTGACTATATTTCTAATTTCCGATAAACCGAATGTACTTTTAGCATCAACAATGTTCCAACAAAAATATTCAATGATCATAAGTTTTTCTTCCCTTCATATTCTCAGAAACACTGGAAGAAAGACCGGTATCCCTAACACCTATAGATTCTTATGTCAGCTGTACATTGTATAATAAAACTACCTTCAGATAACAGACACATTCTCGTGGTTTGAAGTTAACGTTATTTGGATAATCCAGTAGTACATCTGAGTCATAATTCATAACACTCATCTATTTACAACTCGATCTTCACTACCTACAAAAATGCAGCAGCAGGTAACTAATTCATTCAATAGACAGAGAAACACAAAACTCTATCTACAAGAGTAAGTAGGTAGTAAAATAGCTATTTAACTGTTTTAACTTCCGAAGTAGTAGTCAGATTACTAATTAATGCAGGTTAGTTTACGATATCGTAATTAACATCTGCTAACTGAAGGAAATAGGCAAAATCGCATCTTTATACCTAGTCTATCAAAAGAGGAGGCCTATCACATTATCTTGCCAAATCCATTAATTTAAAATAGAAATGAATAAACCATGGAGTAAAACAATGTATATGGGTCAACGACTCCACACCATCGGTTAATTTTTTCAAAACTGTTTCTCAGAAAAGAATAAAGTATCTTCAGTCATCAAATAGAAAATTTGATGAATTTGGAGCAAGAACCATCTGCGATTAGTGTCAATATTCACTGCTGCGAGAAATACTGTTCCCCAATAGTCCAGTGTTTTTGTCAAGCTTCTTTTTTACAGAATACGCCGGCCGACGTGACCGATGAGATCAAGAGAACCAAACTGAGGAGATGGCATATGAGTAAGGCAATTTGGTAAGGGTTCTGGAACAATTCCAGCATGCAGGAGAGACACATTCTCATGTCTTTTAAACCACTCACACTCACTTAATGCACGTACGAATTTGTGCGTAAAATGACACTATGTCTGGGTGTACGATTACGGTTTTTAAATGCACATTCAGCCGAAAATATAAGTCTGAAGTTTAAGAAGCAGTTAATAAACCGGGTGAATTTAAAATCTGGAGTGCGATTTCCAGGTCTAAGTTGAATGTATGTCGACGGAGTATCAGAACATTGGCAGAGGAAAGCATACACATATCTGGAACTAAACATTACAGATGCAAGGGATCACAGATATCATTGTAAACACCCAGGCAATTAACTCCGTTTCTTGCGCGAAAAATTTGATTGAGTGGAAAACAAGATTGGATTTCATTAATCAATCTCATTAACAAAAGTTAAATCTTAGGACAGACTAAAAATATCTCTTTATGTATTGGGCAAAATTTTTCACATAAAACGGACTGAACGAAATAACAAACCTTCGCACTAAGCTACCAAATCTCAAATCAATAAATCAGACTCAACTTCTGTCTTCATTTTTTTAAGGCTTAGAATCAAGTATATGTCATAGTAACACAACTACCAGTCTGAAATTTTAAATTCTGATGTCTCCATTAAGACAACAAAGTAAACGCCATTCGCACAGTCAACTTACCGTAGATCATCAGGTGTTTGTGGCAAAAGCATTAGGCTAGCTTGATAGCTCCTAGCTTCAAACCCAAATATTACAAGTCACGCGGGTGCTATTCTACTGTTCTGAACTATATTGAAATGATCGAACAATAAAATTAAACAATAGTTTCATCTGGTTAACCAAGATCATGAAAATATATTCATGAGTTTTATTGCATTAGGCCGATTCAGTGCTGCTTATTAACGAACCATTGTTTTTTTGTTCAAACCAACTGTCTATAACGGCGGGCAACGCTAGTCAAGGCGTGAAGTCAAGCAAAGATGGGTCGTATGCACAGTGGTGGCAAAGGGATCTCTGGGAGCGCGTTGCCTTACAGGCGATCTGTTCCATCATGGCAAAAGATGACAGCAGATGAAGTAAAGGAACAGATATACAAGTTAGCGAAAAAAGGATTATCACCTTCTCAAATCGGTTAGTTAATTTTTATGTGATATCATGTACTTAGGTGTCATTCTGCGTGACAGCTTCGGGGTCGCTCAGGTTAGGTGGCTAGCTGGGAACAAGATACTTCGCATTCTTAAATGCAAAGGCTTAGCGCCGGATATTCCAGAAGATCTATACCAACTGGTCAAAAAAGCCGTAGCTATTCGGAAACATTTGGGCAGGAATGCCAAGGACAAGGATAGCAAATTCAGACTTATCCTAGTTGAAAGTCGCATCCAACGATTGGCTCGCTACTACAAAAGGAAAAGGGTTTTGCCCCCTAATTGGAAGTATGACAGTTCCACAGCATCAACACTAATTGCCTGATTAACTGTATGACCAAATGTAAATTATGTGGTTGCATAAAATTGTTTTTTTTTCACAATTGATAGTTGAGAAAGTAGCTTGGTTTAGCTGGTGGCCTACAAAGCCAACCAAGTCTTGGTTTGTTCGTACTGACCACTTCCCTCATCGTTCTTTCTGTGTAGTATCTAAGCGTCACCCTCAACATCCAGTGATAGCACAGCGTAATCCTACGTTCATGTCTCAAACTAGTTTTAAGATTTTACCAGCTGTAGCTATACATTAGTAGTTCCCGGAGTTTTCTGGCAACGTTTACTAATGTAGGTGCATAAGAAATTCTACGTTGTAATTGATTGTCTGAAGTTCAACATAATGGTGATTTTGTGCGTTTAGATCTTGGTTTTTCACAAATAGACTGTAGTACTGGTTCGGAGCATACTTGTTCTAATGACCCTTCGGTCGCTATTAGTACGTAATTCTTATTTCCCCAGTTTATTATAACGTCCTTTGCGTCATTATAATTTATCTTTCCAAACAAACAGTACCAAAATTACTGAAGCTTGTGTGCTGCACACGTATCATTTGGTCTGTTACAAGTACACTTTTCTGTTCGATACAGTAACAGTTAGTACTTGGAATCAGGTTGAATAATATACATGCTGTGGTATAGTGCGCAGTTACCTCACTTTATATTCTTTCTCAAATCATACGTTAGATATATGTGTACCTTTTTATACTGTTTGGGGCTTCGATAGTCCCACGGACAGTTTCAGGTTCCCACCTAACACACTATCACGTACGGCTTCGGTCTCTACATAAATAATAATATGCTATTTTGGCAAACTTCTTAGTGTTTTGTCCACACGTCATGGAGCAACGACATGCTGATCTATTTCTACGGTGTTGCAGTATTTTGTTTTGATGCGAGCAGCCACTTATAAGTTGGTGGTCGTTCGCATGTTCTGGCCATCGATTGTACCAATCGGTTTTGTGACTTAGGTTTTGATGAACTGTAATATGCATTCGGGAAAAATCACATTATCTATTGCTAAGTTCGTGTTGTGTATGTTGTCAGATTATCCGTGTACAAGCTCTTTACTCGTACACTACTAGTCCAGTTAGGGCTTATGGCGAAAAGTCATCAGAATTAGTTACTTCAAGTGATGTCCATCAGGGGTGTCCACTTTCTCCATTCTTGTTTAATTTTGTCACAGACCTGCTTCTAGTAATACTATCTCCCCATCTCATGTTTGGACCTTCTACCATGAGACTCGATTGTTCACTTGAAATATGCCGGTGACATAGTTCTGCTTGGTGAAGTGATCTGACTACCCTAGGTAACAATGCAAACTTGTTCAGGATACGATTCTCCCCAATAATATGCAGAATGTTGCTTCAAGATTGGCTTGCGTCGGCACCTAAGCTAGTGATAGGCAGTTAAGCACTGCTTGTGCTTCCTGGGACCACCGGGAAAGCAATGCTGTCGTTAAAGTGAGTACTACATACGGATGGCTAATCTATAGACGAAGTATTGAAGTTCATCATTCAGTCAGTTCCAACGTACAGCTTCTTACGTAAGTACATCAGTCCATGTTGTCATACCACATTAGCACAGAGACGCAGATGTCAAATCATATCCCATAGTGATAAAGATAGTAGAGGTATTAATGGTAATGAAGAAGACTAAGGTTTGAAGAAGTATAGTTCAGTGAGATAAAGGTAGAGGTGCCGACAAATTCCAGATTAGGATTTGAGAAAGCAGATGCATTTGCGCCATCGTAAACGATTTTGAACCACGTCATTCAAGGTCTGTACCCATCGGTGATACTCCATTCCTAACCATAGCATTGCTTATTTGGCTGTCCCACGTTATACGAGCAATGCTTCTTAAACATCTATGATCGAATACTAGTAACCTACGAACATCTACTCTTAACGGCCATGTTCCACAGCTGCTGCGCAGTACACCCGTCCCTTTGGTTAGCGAACGGATATCTCGCCTACGACATAACGCGGGTTGGCAAAGGCTATCCGAGTTGAGATTTCGCCAGTCAGTATTTTGACGGTGAAAACCGCATTCAAAACATGCGTATATTGTTGCTCCGGGTAGTCAGGACTCTGCATTTTGTCAGCATCTTCACCGAAAATAACTCATCAGCATACTCTAAGTAAGCAAGCGTGTCTCCTGGTAAAAGGTCAACTGAAAATTCAGATGAGGATAAGGTTATATCTAGGAGCATGTCTATGATAAAATTAAACATGAAAGGAGAAAGTGGACATTCCTGACGACACCACTTGAAGTGAAGAAATTCGGTGACAGTTAGCTATAAGCTCTCACTCAACCAGTGGTGTTCGAGTAGAGAGCTTGTATAAGGTTAATGTTCTTCTTTGGTACAGCTTTCAATGAACACGACTATTGTCGGACGCCTAAATGTTTGTCTGTGTTCCAGGACCTGTTGTAGTGTAAAGATGTACAAAAGTCCTCTTGTGACAATCACAGGGGAATCAGTATAACTAATGTAGTTTCTAAATTGTTAGTCTCGATTATACTTAGACGCTTAACGAAAGCGCGTGAAGAGCGGGCTCAAGAAAACGAGTCTTGTTTTCGACCTGGACGTGGTTGTATAGACCACATCTTCACACTACGACAGGTCCTGGAACACAGACAAACAGTTAGGCGTCCGACAATAGTCGTATTCACTGAAAGCTGTACCAAAGAAGAACATTAACCTCATACAAGCTCTACTCGAACACCACTGGTCGAGTGAAAGCTTATAGCTAACTGTCACCGAATTTCTTCACTTCAAGTGGTGTCCGTGAGGGATGTTCACTTTCTCCATTCTTGTTTAGTTTTATCATAGACATGCTCCTAGAAATAACCTTATCCTCGTCTGAATTTTCAGGAGTAGACCTTTCACCTGCTGGCTCGCTCATTGACTTAGAATATGCCGATAACATAGTGCTACTTGGTGAAGACGCTGACAAAATGCAGTGTCTTCTGATCACCACAAGCAACAATGCGAGCATGTTAGAGATGCGGTTTTCCCCCTCGAAATGCAAAATGTTGCTTCAAGATTGGGTTTCAGGTTTCACCAGAACTAGTGATAGGGAGTGAAGTAGTCGAACGTGTAGACCGCTTCACTTATCTGGGGAGTCTCATCAGTGCCGATGGCCTGGTGACTGACGAAATATCAGCTCGGATACAGAAGGCTCGATTGGCTTTTACCAACGTGCATCACTTATGGCGTAGGCGAGATATCCGTTCGCTGACCAAAGGGACTGGTGTACTGCACAGCAGCTCGCTCCTTTCTCCTATATGGCTGTGAAACATGGCCGTTAAGAGTAGAAGATATTCGTAGGTTACTAGTATTCGATCATAGATGTTTAAGAAGCATTGCTCGTATATCGTGGGACAACCGAGTAAGCAATGCTGTCGTTAGGAAACGAGTACTAGGTAGGGATGGCAAATCAATAGATGAAGAATTGAAACTGCATCAGTCGAGGTGGTTGGGACATGTGTTGCGAATGCTCAACCACCGACTGCCTAGACGAGCTATGTTTTGTGGTGTGGGGGTAGGTTGGAATAGAGCTAGGGGCGGCCGAACCAAAACATGTCAGAAGTCCATGAAGTCACTGACAAGTGGACTGAGTCATAATGGCGGATGTAGACTACCTGGTTGGGGTCCGCGAGACGAAAGTCACCGATGGTTAGAGACCTTGAATGACATGGCGGAGAATCGTTTGCAATGGCGCAGGTGCATCCACTGTTTGTGTTCTATGAAATTCTAAGCTTCTGCATTCCTCATAATCTCTACCTTCCTCCTAAATTTATCTTTTTGAATTATACTTCTTGAATAATACCTTCGCTCCCTAATCTTCTACATTACTGCTAAGACTTCTATTATTGCTATCACTCTTGGTTTAGAACCGACAGTTGCATCTCTGTGCTGATGGGGCATGGCATCCTGAACTTATGTACATACGTATGAAGTTCTACGTTGCAACTGACTGACTGACCTCACTTCCTATCACTAGTTCAGGTGCCGATGCAACCCACTCTTGAAGCAACATTTTACATTTCGAGGGGGAAAACGGTTTTCGCGAACATGCTTGCATTGTTGCTTAAGTTGGTCAGAAGACTGCATTTTGTCAGCGTCTTCACCAAGTAGGACAATGTCATAGGCATATTCGAAGTCGATAAGCGGTATTCTAAGCGTGGCTGCAGACCATGTGAACTGATCCTTGAAGTGTTCTGCCCATCGATCCAATCTTCTGGGTTGAGATAGTTTCGCTAACACATGGATTTCTAATACCGGTTTACTTGATAAATCGGAACAACTTCTCTACTGCTACATATCGCTGCTTCCTTTTTCATTGTTTTTGCTTTCGCCACTCACCACTATTCGCGTAGGCTTTTTATCGGCCTGTGCCTGCCTAAGCTATCTTCGCTCTTCATGTGCAGAGCCAAGTGGGGTGAAACCAAGTGTGTGAAATAAGTGAGATCGTCCAAGAGTGAGCTTGTTACAAATGGTTTGGATTGTTCGCTCGAATTCCTCCAGTATCTCTATGTGTAAGAAATTGGAACGAACTCCATAAGCAGAGCTTATAGATGTACGATAATTTAAGTTATTCACTTCGATCCACTACGTAAGTGCTATCAACTGTGTGACTTAACGGGGTTGATTCCTTGATTACACCCTATCTTAACTACGAAGGGATTCACTAACTTTTTGACTTACTTATGTGTTCATTATTTCTTTTAGTCTACCCTTATATGATTAGCAGCTATTTATAAATTGTATTGTTCACTAAACTATATTCGTCGTTACGAACCAGTTGGAAATATGGTCGCAACCGTGTTTATTGCTATGCGTGAATTGTCTGTTCATATCCGTCCCTGACTATTCTTCCAAAGCCACTCCATCTTATTAGTGTTATTTGAGCAGTTACCTAAGAGCTCTATTCTGAAAATTATCTGCAGTCATGGGAGCCTTCCAGATTGCAAAAACTGTCATCTTTGAGTTTCCTAACTTGAGAAGTAACTCAGCATTGATAATGCAT